CTAATGTGTGCATGTGAGTTTAGCAAATGAGCAGAAGCACCTAAAGGTGTTGGGTGAGACATAAATCTACAAATCTGCAGTAGTAGTAGGGCTGCATATGAAAATAAAAAGCAGGTAATACAGGGAATGAACTCTGTAGCTCAAATGATGTCGTGCACCGTCAGTGGCAAAAGCTCGACTCTTGCCAAGTTATAGCCATTGAAAATAGGCAATATTTATCCTACTATGTAGCTAACAACACTGGTTTTCAAGGGTTCATTCTTTTGACATTAAATGGTACCATGCTACATATTTTGTATCTTGAATGTCTTCATCATTTCCCTGCATCAAACAATCTTCTCTGTACAAAATTACATGCAAATGGGTAGAGATACAACTGTAGTTAGACATTACTCTCAGACAGTGATGCTTCCTGCATACATTTGTAGTAGTTACCTCTAAGACCTTCATGGTAACTCTAAATAAATTAAAACATTCATTTAATTTGCCACATTTGTGTGGACTTGATACTACAATTACTTTAAGATTCCTATTAAATAAAGCAGTGCACATGTAAAATCTCAAACTAAAGTTAAGCACCCATGTCTCAGATCACCCCAAAGACAAAAACTGTAAAATTCTATCCATTAACCCACAGAGTATAACAATTATGAACCCTGTCAGAGTGTTTGGTGAAAAGTGCATAAAAAAATTGTTCTCACTATTGGTTCCTTGACACTCACTTTGCCGTCTCCTTTAGGGTTAAGATAGACGACGTAGTGACCGCCATGGTTGTCTCCACTGTGCACCAGCACTGCATGGAGGATGTAGTTGGCTGGGTCCTTGGAGTCTGGCTTCTGAAGGAACTCATCCAGAGGTAACTGATCAGGAAACTCAAACCTGTAGATGAGAGGAAGAAGGAGAATCAGAGAGGCTAGTCAGACAAATGATGGGGAATGAGGGGCAGTGGAGGAGGAGAGTGAGAAGATGGAAAATAATGATGTAAAACAAGTAGGAATGGGAGGGAGAGATCTGAGAGGAAAGAATGAGAGAAAAGAAAATGAGGAGAGAAAGGTAAGAAAACAAAGGAGGAGGGAAGGGAAGAAATAAGTAGAACACAGGATGGAAAATAGAAGTCAAGAAGCAACAAATACGAGTGTAAGCTCAGTCATTAGGCAAATTCACCTGCCCTGCACATCCACACACTCTGCGTGTGTGTTCTTACCCAAAGGCCTCAGGGGGGCAGGTGCAGCGTCACAGAGATGACTCAGGGCTTATGAGAAACGTCACCGAGGAACATTTGCTATTGTGGATGGCTGTGAATGTGTGACATTATGCTGGTGGATTGAACACTTATTATCTCTCACAAAGCTTTAGACAGAATGACACGGCCTGCAGGAAAGTGCCAGTGACTCACTTTCCCACTGCCTTGGTGCAGGAGGTCAGGACAGGCTGTTCAGAGTGTGCAGACTCAAGTACCAGTTCCCAAAATAGACTGTTCCTTTAATCAGTGCTACTATGGACCAGGCCGCCTCTAAATCTGTATCTGGGCACCAGCCACTGACACAATGCGAGTGTGACAGGGAATGATCTACTTTAAGCAGGACCAAGTGTGTATAAATGTGTTTGCGTAGGCATAATAAGAACATGCATGCGAGAGCAGTGTGAGAGTGAGGCCCAGTGTTTTTCCTACCTGTCATTAATCTTGATATTTTGGTCGGTCTGGGGGTCATACATGAACCTCATCAGCTGCAGATGAAGGATTGGAGGGAAGGTAAGGAACTTCACTCCTTTTTCTGCTTCCTGCAGTACAAACATAAACATGTCAGGCATCTTCCAGACATCCTACTGACATTTGTTCTCCAACCATTAGTGGTTCCAGCCTTAACTATGTTAACCACTCCATCTTACAATCCACTCTAGTGAGATGTTAATCTTTTGTTACTGCACCTACTTGTCCTGCAACACTGAGGTAACACACCTCAGACTTTGATTTCAGACCATATAAACTATGTAGCTCAGAGAAGAACATAGAAACTATATACACACTGTGTTTTAGAATTTGAGTGTGGCCTCAAATTCATGTTGCATTTTGTCATTGCAGTCCTGCCTTTTTAGATAATGACAGGTATGAGAATCATGCTTAGTTTACATCCCATTTTTAAGATGCAGCAAAACTGAAAAAATACACAAAACAACAAGAAAACTAAAGCAGAACAAAAGACATAAATAATTCAGACCCAGTCAGTGTGAAGCCTCACCTGCAGGCCATGCTCTCCAGCGTCGTATTTGTTGTCTCCATCTAATTGTTCAGTTGCAACATAATCTTTGAATGACTCAAAGACTAGAAATAAGCAGAGAGCGTGGGATGAGAAAATGATGGAGCAGGAACCAAGGCTTCATTGTTTGAGCAAAGCTATAAGGTTGAGTTCATATCGCTACTCACTGTTCTTCTTTCCTTTTATGCTAAGTTGGATGTCATAGTAGTCCTCTATCCGCTCTGAACGGTAGTCCACATGCTTACACTGGATATATGACTGGAGAGTGAGAACACACACACAAAAGGATCAGACTGGTGAGAGACACTGCTTGATTTAACCTCCTTCTATTCTTAAACTCACTTTGCTGCAGGCTACATCCTACATTAAGTTAGACCACCTCACATCACCGCACACAAACATACAGTACATGTCGCACTGGCATCGCTGTGCAAAATCAGTTCTAAAACCTCTTTTTAAACAGACATCATAAACCTCTCTCAAGAGTAACTTCAACCGTATTTAAATTACATACAAACTGACTAACCATGAAGAAAAGTCAAAACAAGAAGAGGAAGAGAGGAAGAAAACATACCACCATCTTTCCTCTGAAGAGTTTGGGGATGGTTCCCTCAACACAAGTGCCTTTCATTTTATTCTCCACATTGTCCAGGAGCTGGAGCGCACACATGCAAGGAGTAGGTCAGTTGTTTAGTAGACATACACACACACTGATCAAGACATTATTAGAAACTCACCACTCTGCACAGCTCCTGTACATCATGTTGCATGAAGCTATCTAGTGTTTCCCACCTTCACATAAAAAAATAAATAAATAAACAAGCAGGCATTTTGATATAATAGCCACAGTTCAGAAAGAATGTGGAGTTGGGTTAAGAAATAAATAAATAAATAAATACATCTAGCAGGGGAGAAGGACTTTGTGAGTTTCTTGGTGCCGACAGGTTTGTCGCTGTGTTGCAGCTCGTAGAACACCCTCTGCAATGCCAGAGGAACACTCTTGGACGAGTCGTCTCCCTCTGTGGGCATCATGTACACCGCCTGCAGAGAGGAGTCGCAATGATTCACACCAGGAGTTGAATGAAAGGAGTTTTAGAACATAAAATTCTTAGATTGAAGTTACAAATTCACTGTTTTGTGAAGACATTTGAAAGTATTTTACATTTTCCGAGCTCCTGTTGGCAAAAGCTATAAAACAGCAGTAATACTGTGGTGAATTAAATGGCCTCAGTGAAGCCAGCTGATAGCAGCAGCAGAACACCTGTATTTGATGTCACCCTTAAGTATCTATGACACATGAAAATGTCTGGGCAAAGGGTATGACCACACACAAACACTGAATCTCCAATGTGCACATACACAGTACAGATCTCTATGTGGTCTCTGAAGCAAAAGCATTTAGTTAACAGGTTAAAAAAGGACTGCACCTCATACAAGCAAAATCATAACTCAGACACAAAGATAAAAGCATACCCGCCGTAGCTGGTTGGTGAAGAAGAGTGTCTGTAGCAGACTGTTCATGTAGCAGGTCGCTCCCTGGTTCTTCAGTCCAACATAGCCTGTGTGTTTCTTAGAGTCCCAGCTGTTTACACACAAAAGGCTGATGTTAGGTTACAGTTCATAAAACCTTAACAGAAATAATTGGATCACCGTAGAAAACAGTCCAGAGAGAAGACCATAAAAAAAAAAAAAAGCTACATACGCCACTCCATGTGGAGCATCTGCCTGGACATAGACTTCAAATGTGACTTTGTCATCATCGATGAAGCCCCTCTCTGGATCAGTCACATCCTGAAATACACCACCACCAAAAACTTACTATTAACAGGAATGGCCATTGCCTTACTCTGTTTTTAACTGCATGACTAAGAACCAACATACTGAGGTCCAAACAGACAATGAGCACATAGCATTTCTGTACTTACACTCCAGGACATGAAGTTGGAGAAGCCCCAGTCATTCTCTTTGTGGAAGAACAGGTGACTGATCCTGCGGCTGAAGGACTTCTCATCATCTTTGTAGTTGATGATCTTTAGCATGGCCTGTGCGTGGCATGACCATGACCTGCAACACCAAGAAGATGTTCCAGGAAATTCTTAACATTGTGACAGACAGCATTTTTAAACAGCATTTTATGTACCTCAGATGTGGATTTAGATTAAACGTTTAATATCTTGTTATTAAAAGGATTGTGCTGGCTTTACAAACTAAAAAACACTACTGAACTACAGTGACTATGATTCATTAGCCAGCAACAACTTGTGCTAAATGGGGAGCCAGGTAAGTCAGTTAACACAGATATTATTCAATGACCAAAAAGCATAACAGAATGTGGGCAAATACAAGATAATTCAGGACTGTGTAGAGATCTCCTGGGAGCAATTAAAGCTTTGCATCTTCTTGGCAAAGTGTCTACAAGCTTTGTACATCTGGATTGGGGCAGTTTATCCCCTTCTCCCAGGCAGATTTCTCTGGGATCAGTGAAGTACCATCTTCAGGTCTCTCCACAGACGTTCATCATGCTTCATTATCATGATGGTGTTAGCAGGTGATGAACACAGTGCTGGGACCAGACGGTCTTTGTACTTCTTATAGGGCACATTATGTCTATATATCGACTATAGTACATGTTCTAAATCAAGCGAATACCTTTCCAACGTTTACTACACACATAAAGTGTTGTTCAAAGTAGCAAAACCTGCTACCGATAGATATCCAGTGATTTTTTATTAAAACAAAATCACCAGCAATAATGAGGAAAGGCTGAGCTGCTTTGATACACTAGGTTAGTGAAATTACTTTGGAAAATATCCATACATACAGTGTGTATGTGTAGCAGGAAAGCGTTTAGCTATATCAGCACCTATAAAATGCCCCCTAAATTTCCCACCCCATGGAGACACCTACGTGGAGTCTGACTCTGCATTACACTGCAGGAAGAAGCCCACACTCTTCTGGTGTGGCCTATCAGGATAGAAGCGCGGCATCACCATAATCTTCCATGGAAGATTCCGGACAAAGCAGGACGGGCTGAGCACCGACTCACTCAGGCGGCTGAAGCGCTCTACCACAAACCGGAAAGTCGCCTCTGACCGCCAACTGGTGTCTGTATAAAGATGGAGTGGGGTTAGGGGACACAGAATGGTTTCAAAAACACTGGGGGTTGATATACAATTATAAATGCCACCACAGAGGTGGTAAACATATTGAAAACCAAATATGTCTCAACCAGTATCAGACATCCAGTGGCTGATTTATATTGGTAGGCTTCCAGTGAGAGTTGCAGTTTCCTGGTTTCCTGGAGCTGTTTTGTCTCAACAAAGGCGTGCCCAAAGATTTACTGTGATGATGACAAAACAACTAATCCCGAGAGCTCAGGAGGTCTGGACCATTATGAAAGCTCTTGGACTTAAATTTGAGTTGAATTACAGTTCTATAATTTTATGAACTGCTGAAAAAGATACCACCAAAACAAAAAGTACTTTTTAAGTTAATAATATGTACTGTGTGTGTATTTTTTTAAATTTAACAAATATTTCACCAGGGCAACCCCAGTGACATTAGTAACCTCTTTTACAAGGGAGCCCCGACCAAAGCAGCTGCATCATTAGTTCAAGACAAAAAAGCAACAACAGAACAGAGGATTTACTGTAGGGTTATACAGTGATTCCAGCAGCTCTGACTAATCAAACATATCAAGCTTTTTACAACCTAATGTGGAACTAATAACTCCACAGCCATTTACACTGACACATTTGCTGGACTGTATTAAATCTGGATCATTACATCACAGCATAAGCTTCTGAAATAGCTAAAGTGTTTATAACTGTGTTCATTTGTGCACACCCTCCTCACCGTCCTCCATCTCCTCCTCTGTGTTGTTGTGTCCATCTGCCATGGCCACGTTACCATTGATCACTGGGTTGGCTGGGATTCTTGGAGGGTCGTCTGTGTCCCCAGCTGAACAAAGACATAAACAATATGACAAGGCTGTGTGGATAGCAAGGTGCTAGCTAGGACAGTGGGTTAAAGACCATTCTTCAGTTGGAGGAAAGCGTGTGCACTGCTAACTATGCTTCAGTAGGTCAGAAACAAGGGGTCAAAAATGTCCAATAAATAAATAAATAAATAAATAAAATAAAAGTCCTATTAAACATCAAAGAAATATGGCATCAAAAAATGAAGCACACAAAGCTTCTTCTGAAATGTATCTTCCAATCAGTATTTGTTTACATCTGTGTTCACCAGTCACCCTGATCATTTACAACAAAAAACTGCTAGCTTTTTTTCCTCACTAGTGTGGAACCATTTTAGTTCAATATAACTCAATCATATAAACTCTCCTGAATGAAGTTTCATTCTTTGGTTGTAGGAGGAAAATTTAAGAGGAAGTTAAGCGCATACACTAGCTTGTTTGACTATACAGTATGTATCATTTGAAGAGCATGACAGGCTGATGCTCGTTTGAGGCACAAACTGAAAACAGCATCAGCCAAGACTGAACTTCTTTTTGACGTGAGCTGCCTCCATCTTTACCTGTTACATTTTCACAAATGGTGAGTTCTTCACCTTTCAGATATTTTACTGAGAAAACCCTGCTGTGTCCCAAAGTGAGGGCAAGAGAGACTCTGTGTGTGTGTGTTCTTAGCAAACACCATAAAACACTGCAGCAGGAAGCGCAATAACAAACACAATGCAGGATTAAGCTGCAAGTCACCACTAGAGCAAAAACACACGCACACAGACTATAACAATTATCCCCGCCAAATAATGTGACGGCTCGATGCACAGTCTCATCTCTCAAAACACAGTGACACAGAGAGGAAATTTGAGTTGACTTCTGGAAGTGAGTGAAACCTGGCTGGATCCTGTGATGATGCTACAGAAGGCAGGCAGCACTAATACGAACACTCAGGCATATGCCTCCAAATGTGATGCCTTGTCAGCTTGTCTCTTACACCGTAATTCATATGTATCTGTATTCCTCGTCTTCCTTCCAGCAACAGAAGTAGCATTGTTTCTTGTGCCTCTCTCTTTTCTGGTAACGTTGCTGACTGAGTCCTCCAGGAGACTGACCTTATTTTCTCAAGTGGATTACAGCCTGCTAAAGTGGCCCGTCTGTCAACTCCAAGACAACTTCTTGTCCCGCCCGCTGAGTCAGTCTCTGCTAAAAGTAGTAGTAGTGGATGTAGGATTTGACATTTGACAAAAAAGCAATTAAAGCTTCATGTAAAACTTTCTATCACTTGAAATATTCAGGTGTCTGGAAGGGAAAATCAGAAGCATCTCAACCAGCTGATTTATTATTTATAAATATATACAATAGTATCAGGAAGAATAGAGTAACCAAACTGAATACCTGCTATGATTGCACTAAACAGCAAAACTACATCTTTCCAATAAAGTGAGAAAAGTATCCTAATATTTCTTTTAAAGTCTACGTGCCCGAGGAGTCATGTGGTAGAAAGATAAATTCAGATGAGAATCTGTGTGCACAGATTGCTAAACGGGATGGGGTGTAGCCTATTAGCCTATGTCATATAGATTTAAAATGGTTTTATTTTGATCTTGGACTGACATATGTGGATATACTTCAGGTTTTTGACTGTTAATGGCCCAAAGAAGCCTCTATTACAATATCACACAAAGTGGATCACACCATTTCCGCCTCACAATGTGAGCTGGTTTAGCGATTCTTGTGCACAGATTATCACCTAAATATTTTTTTCTGCCACATGACCCCTCAGGGGCTGTGTAAAAAGTACACCACATCTGGACTGGAATAGCAAATAAGAAAATTTTTCTCCAATGAGACAACCTTATGCTTGTCGACCAGAGAAACAACTCCAGATGTGTTTAACCTACAGCAACAAGGTTGTAACAGCAAAGCCGATCTTGTTAGTTACTTGGCACGAACGCTGTTTAATGCTTTACTCAACACTAAACTGTGTTCGTCTATTTTCTGAATGCTGACTGATGCAAAACCCACCTAAAACCATATCATACAGCGCAAGTGATATCACTGAAGAAAACCTCGACTTACAAGGTTATTTACTAGCATTCTAATCATAGTCCTTAATTCTGTTATATTTAAAAAATTTGTTTTGTAATAAAGGCATCTTCTGACAAATAATTTCTATTAATTTCTTACATTTCTGAAATGCCATTGGAGGCATAAATATTAGCTGATCACATAGCATCAATAGGTTGGCATCCTAGTGAAGCTAAAGAGCTAAAGTTACTTTGATATGCAGAGCAGATGGAGGATTAATCCCACTGCAACTCTATAGAGTCTCATATATTATGTGTTGCTTTGAAAAGTCAGAAAAAAAGTTATGGCTTTGTTGTGTCAGTTTGTTTTCACTGCCCCTGTAAGGCTGCAGTGCACTGGGAGAGGTCTGGTGAGTGCACTTGCTACTTGTGAGACACCTATTAAGAAAAAGTAAATGGTTCCTGAAGATGATTCTACTTTATTTGTGTAATTAAATAAGAAAAACTCAGTTTTGTGTGCTACAGAATAACAAGCAACAACATGCGCCTACAGATAATAAAACCACTTGGACTAAGTGACGCAGTGATGCTGAGGGCCCCCCACAAGCATCTACTTATTCCGAAGTTGACATTAGTAAAAATTAAATAAAATGCTGATAGGATGCGTGTTCAACGTTTGCTAAACGCTAACAGGGTCGTCCCCAACTCCAATTTGGACTAACAAAAACACAGATCATTAAAAATGGCGAGCTCCATGCCGTTTGGTCTTCAATACAATGAAGCAGCAAATCCCCGCGCTACCCCTGTGCGGGCATGGCTTACCGCAGCGGCGACCACCGTTAAGTGCCAGGGTTGCCGTACGTTTCGCATAAAGCACTGTCAAGTGTCAACATCTACACTAAAAAGCAAATAACCAAACACAATTTACATTGTGGGTATTATCACCATCTTTACTTGAATAGATGGACTTGTTACTCCTCAGTCAATTTAGCAAATCAGAACTGACGCATCTCCGTTAGCTATTTAGCGAACACTAGCCACAGATTCAATTGCAGGCCGTTATTAGCTAACATTAGCTGGATTCTCTAGTACCAGCTAACGTGGTAGAAATAATTCTAAAGAAAAATATCGCCCCGAGTATGTGCATTATAACAAACAGTAATCAAAGACAAAGGAAAAATGATTTAGTTTTCAACAGGCAAATACTGAAGGCCTAACATTCGAGCAATAGCCAGATCGAACGTTGCAAAATACAAGCCACCATTTTGGAACGCCACACACCCCCTCCGTTAACATTAGCTAATAAGCTAACTAGCATGCTAGCCACCGAATAAACGTAACGAAGTGGGCCATGGTGCTAAGTGGCTAGCTTACAATTATCTGTCCCGCTAGCAATGTTCACTGCGGTGCTCCAGCTTCGTGAACACAGAGTAATAAAGCTGATAACTCGATCATGTCCGCACTAAACGTATTTACAACAAATATAAACCCGTCCTCTATAGTGGCTTCACGTCTTAGGGCCAAACTGGCAGATGCTACCCTGTAGTTAACCGATATCGTTAGTGTGCGGGCCCGCACTTGATCTACAAGCCATCAAACACGATGCTAGCAGTATTTTAGCAAGGCTGGCGTAACATTACTGTGTCGAACGGTTATTACCAAGCTATATTTTACATGATGAGACGAGAAACACTACTTAAACAAACTCGCAGTACAGCTAACTTTGATGAAAAACGCAGGTGCCGATAACTGTCACCCGAAAGGCCACTGTTAAGTCAAAGTAGCTATATTAATCTACCTAGCGACGTATCCATGTTAATTTGCGAGACTAACAGCCACACTGTTTACAAACATTTAAACTAGGATATCAACAGTCAGGGGGCTTTGAATCATATGACGGCAAATGGATTCTAAACTGCGTTTGATAACTTGTCAGCAAACGATCATGAACAAAACCGAACAGTTTAATGAGAAATACTGCGCTCGATCCGAATGAATGATTTGTTTGGCTCATCTCTAATAATGTGGATGGACAGTTCTTTTAGTTTAACTACAAGTAAGGGAAATTTGCAAGTATATGGGGGAAATACAAGCTCCATTCGTTTATAACGCAAAATGAGGTCAGCTCCACACAAGTATGCTGCAACGGACGCACAATCAGCAGAAATGCAGCCGGCTATCCTAGCTAGCTTCAGGCCTTCGTGTTTACTGTCAAGGTGAGTTCAGCTTGCAGAACTAAAACTACATGCATTTTTCATGCAGCTACACAATTATGACAAAAAGTGAAGTGTGAAGTGTTTGTTCACCCTTGTTGGGACCATTACTTACCTTCCATTTCCATGTCCTCTGGTTCGCTGAGCTGCTGCTCGCCGGCTTTCTGTTGCTGCTGCTGCTGCTGCTGCGTGTGGTGATGGTGGTGGTTCATGTTGGCAGCTGTTGCTGTGGTTGTGATGCGCTGGTCCCTGCTATCTCTGTTACCCTCGACCTTGTCCAGGGTCGGCTCGGTGGGGAACCGGGTTCTGGACTGCTGGTGAGGTGTGGTAGGATGTGGAGGTGGGGTGGACAGGTCGAGCCTCGGCGGCAGGGCCTGTTCTGTTGCGACCTCGAGCTTGTCCGCCGTCAGCGCCGGGGAGTGAGGAGGGGAGGTCGGTGGGGGAGCGGGTAGAGAAACGCGGACGTATTTGCTCGCTATTCGCCCAATTTCGGCGCTTTTGGTGGGCGCAAGTCACTGGCTGACTGCGAGGGCTGTGATGGATGGGCCGGGGCTCCGGAGAGGGAGGCCCACTGAAATTTGCTAAATCAATTCGGTTTTACCCCGGGAAATGTGAGGCAACACGATAACTCACAGCACAACCTGCACCTTGAGGAACAATTACCCTGCTTGTAGCTAATGTTAAGCTACCTGACACTAGGCAGCCAACTAGTGATATAGGTACAACAACAATGAAAACAAAGGGGTCATTTACCGTAGACATTCACTCAACAACTTTGTCTGCGATATCCCTGCTCCGTGTGCTCCTCCGATTGTCCCTCGTCTGGGGGAGAGCGGAGGAAAGAGCTATCCATTCAAACCAGTTTCCAATACGGAATAGCACTAACGTCAATTTGGAAGTTGGCGGAGATTGCCACGGTCCGAGATAAACCAGTTCCCCCAAACCGCCCCTAAAACCATAAACGACAAAACGCGACACCTCGCTGCATTTCTAGCTAATCTCTCGTTTCTTGCACGAAATGTGCCCGGTCATACAACGTTAGCATGAGCTGAGTGGCTTTCAACCCGCTCCTCCCGTGGTTTCTGGTGTGTTGAGTCTGAGGTAAATCTCAAAATGGCGGTCGCGCTCTTCTCTGAAATGTCACATCCGCATGGAGATCCAAACACTGGCCCATCCCGGCCAGGTTCATATCCATGGTAAATGACAGGGATCGGGCTAGTGCCTCTGACACGGGGAAAATAAGTACTAACTATAAATGATTACATGGATGGAAATTATAGGAATGACAATACAGGGCTGTGCATACCGGTGACTGCATGTTTCATTCAGGCCACAATCACTGATTTGCAATCACTTGAATGGGAAAATCATTCTATGAATGTGGAAACGAACTAAGTACTGAAATAAGTTCACTGAATTAATTTTTCTTGTAAGACATACCTTTTCTTCAGTAAACTACAAAAACAGCCAACTTTACCTTTTAATAAGCAGTGCGGTTGTATGCCTGCAAATTAAAAGCTAGAATGCAGAACATCAGCAAATAGCTTTCATTAAAAAACTACTACCTGCAACATGTTAAGTAAAATATTATACATACATTAATTATTTGATACATATACATCCTTCTTGTGATGCTCTTCAAGTTAGAGCAACTGCAAATTTCCAAAAAAAGACACAAAAATTTGACTTACAAAACTATAGGCACTAATTTGGAATTGGAAAATTGATTATTTTCTGTCCTATTTAAAATGTTCCTTTATTTTGCAGTGGGTGTTTGCGTGCAGAAATAGCCTATTAGTTAGGCGCACTGTTAATTACTTTTTGAATCTATACAATATCTGTTACTGATAAAAATAAATAAATACCTTGCACACACACATCACTTTAGTAGTGCAATCAAAAAATTTAAAAGATAGCACAAAATAAAGGCCTTTACTCACTAGTGAAGTAGCTGTTATATCAACGGACAACCGATCTTCAGTTATGAGTTGTTCCCTTACTATGGGAGTGTCCGTGCTCTTTCTCTCTCTCTCTCTCTCTCTTTATATATATATATATGTGTGTGTGTGTGTGTATATATATATA